GTCGGTTTCACTTGCAAAAATTTTCTCCCATTCCGTAGGTTTTCTTCTTGTTTTACTTCTGGTTTCCTTTGCTGTGCAGAAGCTTGTAAGTTTCATTAGGTCCCATTTGTTTATTCTTGCTTTTATTTCTTCTAGGAGAAAATTTTTGAAACGTATGTCAGATCATGTTTTGCCTATGTTTTCCTCTAGGAGGTTTATTGTATCTTGTCTTAGGGGGCTATGCTTTTGAGCTTCTAAATCTACCTTTCATCATCTTAACCTTTCTTGTTGCTTTGACATCTTTTTTGGAGTCTATCTGGAAGGACTTCCTACTTTTTTTTTCTTCCCTCTTGTTTCTCCTGAAACTAGTAAGTTGCTTTGTTATAGTCATCTGTAAAGTAAGAATTAATAAGCTCTGGAAAGAACCTAATGAGATTCCTATGGACTTAACGGATAGCTCTGCAGGCTGTTACCAGACCTGTTTTTGTTTTATCCTTGTATCAAGGCTCCTACCTGTCTCACAGTGACCTCCGGATAAGGAAGGTAGTTTAGACTCCGAGAGAGTGAGCAGGAGTCTTTCCTGAATGATACTGACTAGGTTGAGGGTTTAAGAGCCTGGGACAGATCTGGGTGAGAAAAGGACCTTTCTGCTCAGGGCTTGGTCCCTAAACTCAGTGAAGGCTGCCACGCTGGAGGCTGGTTGTTTTTACAGTTGCCCTTTCCCTCCTCAAAGTGGAGACAAAAGCAGTTGAAGCGCCCTCTCTTTGCCGCACATTTTCACCTAGAGGCAGTGCCCACAACCAGGTGAGTCCCTCTGCACAATAATGATCCTTTCAGTGCCTCAAATGACATCATTTGGGGATTTGTCGAGTGACCACACTGCTGCTGATAAAGAAGAGATAACGGGGGAAAATATTTGTCATCTGAGTCTCTCACTATTTTTCTGAGTCATATATGTTCTGATGTGGTAGTGGGAGTAAAGAAGACTCTTATGACTGCTCCAGACATTAGGGATGGAAAATTCTTAGATCATTCAGCTTACCCTTCAAGATTCACACAGGATTACAACTTTTTGTTCATCCTCTGAGCTGACTTCATCTTCCCATACTTCCTTCTCAGGAGAAACAAAGTGGTGGGTGAAGATCTCAGTGCTGGGGAGATGTTCTCAAAGGATCATGCCAAGCAGTGCCAGTCCTGTCTCCCTGGAGGAATGATCAGACTCCTGCCCAGGTTGTCAGACACTGATTTCCATTCTGACCCTCTGTGAATCCAGAGCAAGTCACTTTCAAACATTCTTGTGCCTCGTTTTTTCTTCTTTATCAGTGGTGTCTGATAGAAATAGAATGTGTCTACATGTGTCATTTTAAGTGTTCTAGGAGTTTCATGAAAAGAATAAAGAGAAATGAGTGAAATACGTTGAATGTATTTTTTTTTAACTCACTATATCTGGACTATTATCATTTCAAGGTAAAATCAATATAAAAATTAAGGAGATATTTTACATTCTTATAATTCATACCAAATCTTTGAAATTTGTTGTGTATTTTATACTTATAGTACATCTTAGTTCAGACTAGCCACATTTCAAGTGCTCAAAAGCTGCGTGTGGCTGGTGGACAGAGCAGTTCTACATAATGGAAGAAAGGTCTATTGCTTTTTTGTTATTTTAAAAGAAGTCTTTTAATTCAAAATAACACAAAACGACATCACAGTGTGGTAATATTGAGTCACAGGGGTTATTCTACAGCAGATGAATGGGTGTACTGTTCTCAGAAACAAGAGGAATCAATGTCTATTGCTTTTTGAAGAATATTGTATAGTATTTTGGAGCTGAATGAATATCCACCTTAAACAGTTAGATACAGGTAAAGCATGCACAGTGATGCCAAGAAAAAATACGAGTCCAAGTAGCCCCCTAGATGTTGTTAAGAAGACATTTTTAAAGATGTCATGCACTGTAAACCTCCCAGAAGAAAACATAGGCAAAACATTTTCTGACATAAATCTTAGCAATGTTCTCCTAGGGCAGTCTACCCAAGCAATAGAAATAAGAGCAAAAATAAACAAATGGGATGTAATTAAATTTATAAGCTTTGCACAGCAAAGGAAACTATAAACAAAACAAAAAGACAACCTAAGGGATGGGAGAAAATATTTGCAAAAGATGAGACTGATATGGGTTTAATTTCCAGAATACACAAATAGCTCATACAACTTAATAACAAAAAACCAAACAACCCAATCCAAAAATGGGGAGAAGAGATAAACAATCAATTCTTTAATGAAGACATATAAATGCCCAATAGGCCCATGAAGAAATGTTCAATATTGCTATTTATCAGAGAAATGCAAATCAAAACTACAATGAGGTATCTCACCTCACACCAGTCAGAATGGCCATCATTCAAAAGTCCACAAATAATAAATGCTGGAGAGGATGTGGAGAAAAGGGAACCCTCCTACACTGTTGGTGGGAGTGTAGTTTGGTGTAGCCATTATGGAAAACAGTATGGAGATTCCTTTAAAAACTAAAGATAGACCTACCATATGATCCAGTAATCCCACTCCTGGGCATATAAACTAGAGGAACTCTAATTGGAAAAGACACATGCACTTCAATGTTCATTGCAGCACTATTTACAATAGTCAAGACATGGAAACAACCTAAATGTCCAACCTCAGATGACTGGATAAAGAAGTTGTGGTATATTTATTCAATGGAACACTACTCAGCCATAAAAAAGAATAAAATAGTTTGCAGCAACTGGATGGACCTGGAGATCATCATTCTAAGTGAAGTAAGCCAGAAAGAGAAAGAAAAATACCATATGATATCACTTATATGTGGAATCTAAAAAAACAAAGACACAAATGAGCTTATTTACAAAACAGATACAGACTCACGGACATAGAAAACAAACTTATGGTTACCAGGGGGGAAAGGGAGTGGGAAGGAGTAAATTGGGAATTCAAGATTTGCTACTAACTACATATATAAAATAGATACACAACAAGTTTCTACTGTATAGAACTGGGAACTATATTCAATATCGTGTAGTAACCTATAATGAAAAAGAATATGAAAAAGAATACATATATGTGTATCGATGACTGAAACATTAAGCTGTACACAGAAATTGACACAACATTGTAAACTGGCTGTACTTCAATAAAAATAAATACATTAATTAATTTTAAAAAAGATGTCAGTGATTGAGCTGGTATTGAGAGACTGAGGCATGTTAAGAAAGATGTTGAACTGAATAGTTTATTGTAATGACAAGTGCAAACACGAAGGTGGTGGCTTAAAGGAGAGTTGACAAACCTATCCTCTCTTCCCAGTCCTGTCCAAGGCAGAGGGTGTTCTGGCAAAGGTGTTCTCTCCAGGTGTTTGGCAGGCAGACTCTGTCAGCAGAAAAGGCCAGCTCAACAGGGAGCCTCAGAACGCAGTGTCTGGCAGGGAGGTCCCCTGCCCTCTGCTCCCTTTGTGTAAGGGCAATAGCTAACCATTGTCAAACACCTGCCAGGTACCGGGCTCTGCAAGGATTCATCTGTCAAACAGACTGTATCTGTTTGCTAGGGCTGCCATAACAAGATACCACAGCCTGGGTGGCTTAAACAACAGAAACTGGTTTTCTTACCGTTCTGGAGGCTGGAAGTCCAAGAACAAGGTGATTTTCTGTGAGGCTTCTCTCTCCAGCTTGGAGGTGGCTGTCTTCTGTGCATCATGTGGGCCCCTGATGTCTCTTCCTCCTCTTCTAAGACACTCAACACACTGAATGAGGGTCATACCCTGATGGTCTCATTTGAACTCAATCACCTCTTGAAAGACCCTATCTTCAAATATGCTTACATTCTGAAGTACTGGGGGTTGGCACTTCAACATAAGAATTTTAGGGGGACATAATTTAGTATATAACAGGTATGTCCCATCTTACAGATGAGGAAACTGATGCCCAGTGAGGATAAGGGACTTGCTAATGGTCAATAAATGGGTAGAGACTACAGCCTGGATCTCATCACTATGGCCATTTTGTTTCTTCAGGCAAAAAAGATGTGTCTGGCTAGTTCTGTGTAATAAATTTGGAAAATTCAGATTTTCCCATCTCCTGCATGATGAGTTGGGTATTTCATGGGGAGTGGCTGATGGACAGTAGAGTCTGGGAGGGTGGAGAGTAGAAAAATGCAGTGGAAGCAGCTTAGGGACTGGAATCCGGAATCTGGGTGAGTTTTGGCTCTGTCATACACTAGGCATGTTGCCGTGGTCAAGGCCTGCCCTCTCCAAGCTTATATGACTAATATTTATTAAAGTACAAATACTTAGCGTTGAACATATATCATCTCATTCTATGTTCACAGCTACCTGTGAGGTCGACACTATTATTACATCTACTTTACAGTTGAAGGAGAGGCTCAGAGAGGTTAAGAGACTTATCTAAGGTCACACAGTCAATAAGGCCTAGAGTCAAGACTTAAACCCAAGTTTGTGGATTCTAAAACCTTAACCATATCCTGACCCAGGAATGGAGCCCAGGGATATAAAATCTTCTGCTTTCTCAAGAGGAAAAGTCTGGGTTTTTAATGTAAAATCTCCAGAGTTTTATGAAATCAGTATTAGTGACTGTGGCATGATCTTCTGAATGACTGGATTTCAGTCTGTGCCTGACACTTAGGAGCCATTTAAGCTACCACAAATTCCTTAACCTTTCTGAGCCCTAGTTTCCCTGCCTGGAAATTGGAGATTGTGCTGTGTACTTTGACATGAAAGGTGAGACAGTGTTTGTAGAGTGCCTGGTGAGCACGTTGTAAGTGATGAGAAAACAATTAGCACCAACATCAGTGGTGTCTCTCCATGGGATTGTGGGACTGCAGGTGGAGGGCCTATGTGGCACTTTGAGGGGTCAAGGACGGAGCTGTCACCTTGAAAGTTCACACCCAAGGTTATGCCATTTTACCTTTAGTTTTGGAATCTTCCACAGTTCTTTTAAAAAAAAACCACCCTTTGTTGCAGGGTTGGGAGGGATAATGGTTAATACCTTAGTAAGCATTAGTTGGCCTTTACTCATTCAACAAGCATTTAGTGAATTCTGAAAGTGGTGACAGAGTAATTCACAAACTCAAATTTGTGTAAGAAATACCTGAGGAGCTTGCTCATAATAAAGGTTCCAAGATGCCTTTCTCAGACAGTCCAATTGAGTCGGAGTGGGATGGGACCTAGGAATCCGCATTTTCACAGCTCTCTGGGGATGCTGATGCAAGTGGTCCTCAGACCATAGACTGAGGCACAATTGGTCCTGGAAGGACTTCTGGAACTGCTCTTGCCCCCCACGGGCACAGCCTTTTCTGCAGGGTGGTCTCACCTGGAAAAGCTACCACTCAGGGTGGGCCAGGGGGTCAGCCAGGTGGGAGAGAAGGCAGCAGGGAGATTCTGTCCTAACTACATGGGCTGAAGTCAGATTCTTTACAGTGAAAACTGCCAGTTCATTCTTAATAAATTTAAGTAATAAAAGAGGACCCTTTCAGGGTCCTGAAATAAGCAGTAATTGCCAAGATCAGATTGTGCTGTGGACTGCCCTCCAGGCCCCTAGTTACCATCAGCATAAACAGCTCCACGCCCAGCAACTGCCAGGGATGGTTTTCTTTCTCACCAAAGACCCCGAGCAAATGGGACGGTTTTTGCTGGTGACAAAAGTAGCTAGCATGCTTGTGGCTCTAACAGGCCTGGGGTTGTCAGTCATTTCTCGGCTTCCCACCCACGCACCTTCGTGCGGTGGGACTGAAAGTGTCCCCTCTCTCTCTTTGAGTGAAGTCCCTCAGAGATTCAGAGGGAGGATGTAGCATGAAGCAGAAAGCTGTGCCCAGGGCTTGGCACCTGCTTGGCTCTGTAACTGCTGTGTGTCTCTGCTGCTGCTGCTGCTGCTGGACCACGCAGGGATCTGGGCTGTGACATTTGCTGCCCAGGTTTTTTTTGTTTTGTTTTTTTTTTCTCCCAGTAGCATCTGGAAGAGACTTTGGGAGGGCCTAATCCAACTGCATGGTATTCTCTGGAAGCAAAGCTGAGCCATGTGGGCAGAAACAGCCTCTGGTCTGTTGCTCTCTTTCTGCCTCGAACACTCACTGCACATACCACAAGGTTTTTTTTTAGAGGTTAGACAAATTTGCATTCTTCTTCAAACTAGAGGAAGTGTTAGAGGAAGTCATGTATTAAAAGAATTGGGCGGGGGAGCTTACGTTAGGAAGAGATGGGCTTCTTGGCAGCTTTCCCTGTGGCCAGCAACCCCAATAACCTTTGTGCTATTAACCCTTAAAGGTATGGATCAATGCTGGAGTCCAGTTCATTATTTATCTTAGACAGCTCTGTCTCTTTCTCTCTTTAAACCTGAGCTTTAGACTAATCAGCTGCAGTTTGTCCAATAATTCAGCTCCAACTCCCTGGAGACGCCAGCAAATCACAGAATAGCGCTCTTAATATTGAGGACACCAAGAAAATCCACCCAGCACACATGGGGTGTTGCCACTGTAAGGGAGGGCCAGAGGAGGGATGAAGCCCCGGGCTGGCCCTTTCATTTTTACCTTGGGACTACGGATGAGCTTGTCTTTGATGCCTTCATTGGTTCTGCACTTTTTTCTTCCCTTCATAAATCCAGTGACATGATATATTGACAGGTTAACCAAACCTCAACTTAAGCTGTGTGTTAAACTGAGCCACGGCAAAGAAAGGAATTAAATTATTGGCATGAAACGACAGGACACTGGAGGGTATGGCATGGCAAAACCACTAGTAAAAGTGGAAGCAAATGACTTTTGAAGATACTATTACCTGTGCTAAGAAACTTCAGGTATAGATCTGGATCAGTTCTAGACCTACACAAAACTGACAGAAGAGTATAATGAATGCCCACATGCCCTTTACCTAGACTGACCAATTGCTAACATGGGCCATTTTTGCTGTATCTACATATATGTAGCTCTGTGTGTACATGTGTATCATCTAAAAGTAAGTTTAACACATCATGACACTTTATCCCCAAAGACTTCAGCTTGCATCCCCTAATAAGGACATTTTACAAATTGCCACACCATTAACACTGAAGAAAATGAACGGTATTTCCAGAATCACAACAGCTTTTAAAGTAGTACTTTCGTTATGGCTTCTGGTATTCATCCTCACATCCGGGGTCACAGAGCACTACGTATGTCAGCCTTTGGGAAGGCCTGTGGGTCTCCCGATCCAAATTGGGAAATAAAGTTGCCAAGAGTTAAATGTTAGATTAATTTATGATCAGAGCAGTTATGCAAAGTTACCTTACAAGGCATCAGGGCTGCCAGATCTTCAATAGATGACTGTGTCCAGATTAAAGGTATTAATGTAGCTAAAGAAAAACCCTTGTCAGTCAGAAAGGGCCAGAATGGGGCACAAAGATGAGACCCAGGGGCAGAAATTTCAGTGCTTGTTATGCACAGTTAGGGCTGTCTGCTCTTGAGGACTAAACTAGACAACTGGGTATCTTAGCTTTCATCCGATAAAACAAAATACGTGTTTTTTAAAGGAAACCTGAAAGTGGCTATCAATGTCTGGAGGCTCTGAAGGGGTGGGGAAACCAAGAGAAAAATATTCCCTGGGGTGGGGGGTCAGAGACACAGGTGGATACACCTTCATCTGGTGGCTGGGTATTCAGGACCGAGGGAGGCACCAACTCACGCAGCAGGGCGTAAGGAACAGACACCCTATCAGCTCTAGGAACTCTCAGTACAAGCTCTGCATCCCCCTCAAGCCAAAGGCCTTAAAGCCTTAAGAAATCTGAGTTCAAACTCTAATCTGTAAAGCACAATATCAGATGTGTTCCCAGCCTCGCCCTCAGGTCCCCTGTTCTTCTGGTTTCCCTCTTATGAAGGCCTAGAATTCTGTCTAGAATAGAGACTCGATACTCTTATTGTGCTAGGAGCTTCCTGGGGGCGGGCAGAGTGCCTTATTCACACTAGATGCTTGAAAGCAGCTTGCCGAGTGAGTGCCTGAATGCATGCCTAGAGGAATGAGAGTAGCACCCGAGGGATGGCACGGGCACCTGGAGGTGGGGAGGGCAGTGGGGAGGCTGGAGGGTCATGTTTCAGGAAGTCTAAGGTCTTGCCTAAGTCCTTCTAAGTCGGGTGCTATTAGGCAGTAAATCTAGCCTTTTTCAGTTTCCCTTGTCTTGCTCTGAGGGTGGGGCAACTGAGCGGGGAAAGTGACTGGCGGAAGAGGAGGAGTTGAAGGAACCCGAAAGACTCCCTACCTGGAGCGTGAGAGGAGATGGGCCTCCGTCCTGCAGAGCTGCATTCCTTGCCCTTTTGGGACCACCGCTTCCTCACTGCCAATCCAGGCTTCTGCCTTCCAGCCTGGGCCCTACTGAATGCAGACTACAGTACACACTCTAGTCAGTTACCTCTGGTAACCGACAGTCAGTGATGGCAGGAAACCCCCAGATGTCACCATGAATTTGGGACATTTGCCAGCTAAAAAGAATCGGGCAATATACTTCAACCCCTTGATTGTACAGCCACGGAGGCCAGGGATCAAAAGTTTAAACAGCTTCTCAGAGGTGGTGGTGGGACAGCACTGGAAGGCACAGCTCACCCTGCAGCCCACATCCTTCAAGTCAGCATCGCTCCAGAGAGTGCCAAAGCAGCCCGTTTGCCCGTCTCCCGGCTCTGTCTTTGCACACCCTCCCCAAGGTGGAAGGAAGTGGGTTTCCAGCCTTTTCACCCTTTTGCTCATCACCATTCTCCCCTGAGGTGGGAAGGGAGGTTTTACCATAATTAACTATCAAACTTTTGCTATGAGATACCGTCCCAACAACAACAAAAAAGACTTATCTGTAGAGTGGAGATCCCTCTAAGTAGAATGTAGGGATACGGGGTGTTGTGGGTTGAATTGTGCCCCCCCTCAAAAGATATACTGAAGTCCTCACAGGGTCCCTATAAATGGGACCTTACTTGGATAAAGGTTCTCTGCAAATGCAATTAAGATACAAGTTAAGATGAGGTCAGACTTGGGTAGGCTGGGCCCTTCATCCAATATGACTGTTGTCCTTATAAGAAGAAAGAAGACATGAAATAAACAGGCAGAGGAGAAGATCTTGTGAAGATACAGGCAGAGAATGGAGTTACACGGTCACAAGCCAAGGAATGCGTGGCGCCACTGGAAGCCAGAAAGGGCAAGGAAGGCTCCTCCCCTAGAGTTTCTGCTGACACCTTGATGTTGGACTTGTAGTCTCCAAAACAGTGACATTAGAGACAACCAGGTTTGTGGTACTTGGTTACAGCAGCCTTAGGAAAATACACGGGGCAAGTGGGACTTAGCTGGAACCTGGGAAGCTGAGGCGGGAGGAAGCCAGGATATGGGGCTAGGGATAGAAAAGGATGGAGGGAGGGGGCCCAGGTAGAAGGGCCCTCAGGTGCCCATGGAACTTTTACCTGGCGCTGTCTAAAGGTGAGCAAGGGGAACAGGAAAGCCACGTTGGGTCTCCTTCTGGATGATCATAAGCCAAACCCATTTCCTTTCTGGCCACTGTGGGGCCTAGCAGTGGGAAGCAAAGAATTAATGTCTAGAAATTAAATCTCTGACATCATCTCTGGTTGGTCCCATCCCCTTTGAACTCGTACCTCTTCATTCAGCGATGAGAACAGTCAGGAACTGTCTGCTGGCATCTCACCTGTGATGGGACCTGAAGTCCCCCAGGGAATAAGCCGCATCTTACAGGGCCCTTTCTCTGGGTTCCTGCCAGTGCCAGGGCTGGGCTTGGCGTGTCCAGGTCTCTCAATCTACATTTATCTGTAGGGTGATTTGGTATCACAGCAGGAGTACATCCTCGGGTGGTTTAGGTTGTTTAATTTTAAATATTCCTGCAAGTCTGTGTAGAGTACAGCAGTATCTTTGCCCTCCTGGGCAGGAAGTAAGTCACATGGCAAGCGGCTCCCGTCTACTCAGTGACCTCAGGCTGGATGGCTGACATTGCGAAGCCTGGCAAAGCCTTCCAATTTGGGCTTTTCTTGTTTGTACTTTCAAGATGTTTCTGATTTAGAAAATACCCATCTTGCCTTTTCTGTTTCCTGCTTCAATCTTCTACCCTGATCACATGGTTCCTTATCTTCCTTTAAGAACCATTTGTTTGTTCTTACAGAGTTCAAAGAGCAAGATGATATAAAAAGAAGCCTTACTTCCCTCTCTGTCCTCATCCTCCTCTCCCTGGACCACAGGGACAGATAATGGTCATTAGACTCTTATTTATTTTTTCCAAGACTCTTATGCAGATAAAAACATATAAAGATATTCTTATAACCCCTGTATTTCTTCTACAAAAGATAGTATACTCTATTCACTACTTGACATCTTGCTTTTAAAAAATTTTTATTTTTGGGGGGTAATTAGGTTTATTTACTTATTTTTTAATGGAGGTACTGGGGACTGAACCCAGGACCTCATGCATGCTAAGCATGCGCTCTACCACTGAGCTATACCCTCCTCTCTTGCTTTTATTTTTTATGCAATCAAGACTTTATTCAAATGTAACGTGTGCAGTAAAATGTACAAAAAGTGAGTGTACAGACCAATAATTTTTTTTCTTTTTAAAAATTTAGTTTTCTTGTGTGACTTTTAAAAACAGCTTTATTGAGGTAAAATTAGCATACAATAATAAACTGTATGTGTGTGTATATATATATGTACACATATACATATATCTCCATGAACTGTCACCACAATCAAGACAGTGATCATGCACTGCGCTCAGAAGTTTCCTTTTGCCTCTATATTTTCTTATTAGCCACTAAGTTAGAACAGATTGATGAGTTGGGCTGAAGACATCTAACATTATGCTGATTTACACCCTGTGGTTATTTCTTTGAGGGTCCAGTAGTTCCTCCAGAGCCCAGGAGGTAGGTAACAGAATGTAAGTCTTTACTACTAGTGTCTTATTGATCATCTAAATTTCTGACGATTAAACATTTGACCTCAAGGGACTTTGGTAAGACTCATTTGAAGGTATTTTGTAGTAGAAAGCTTATTTTGTCAGCCTGTAAAGCTACTACTGCCAAAGGTTCTGGTCCTGGGAAATTTGACTCAAAGAATCAAAGATTCTCAGAAAAAGAAAGTTTCATGGAATTTCAGGTTTTCCTTTGTTTATGAACCATAACTCTGGGAGGAAGGAAATTAACACTCATTAAGCACCTTCTAAGTGTCAAGTACTTCACATGAAATAAATAATTTAATCCTCACAATAACTACTACAGAGATGGGACTGTCACCGGTTTTACAGAAGACTGGATATAGGATCTGAGAGTCTAAGCAAGTTGCCCAAGATGACACACTAAGAGGCATGAGCTGGAGTTGAAATTTAGAGCTATTTTATTTTAGAGTCCATCTGTTTTATATCATGGCCTAACCTCTGCTCCTCACCTCTAGACAAATATTGACAGTTTATATACAGAGATATATATGAATATGTGTGTGTGTGTGTGTATATACACATGTGTGTATGTACACATACATATACACGTACATGCATACTTATTGGGATGTGCTGTATGTTATATGTTATACACTTCCAAAGCCCTTAGAAAAAGAAAATTAACAGTCCCTAACAGAACGTGGAGGCAAATTGGTCATAAAATACATGGATAAATGAATTTTGCTATTTATATAAAATGACATATGTTGAGTTGTTCCCCAGT